CTCGGGCTGGCGCTCGGGCTGGCGCTGGCGCTGGCGCTGGCGCGGGCCAAGCCCACGGTGCGCAAGGAGCGCGTGCTGCGCCCCGACTCCGAGCTGGGCGCGCGGCCGCCCGAGGACAACGGCAGCTTCCAGTACGACCACGAGGCCTTCCTGGGCCGCGAGGACGCGCGCGGCTTCGACCAGCTCAGCCCGGAGGAGAGCAGGGCCCGGCTGGGGTGAGGGGCGCGGGGCACCGCAGGCCGGGGCAGGTCGTGTCCGTGCGGCGGGAACGCGGGAGGGGCCTGCCTGCCTGCCTGCCTGCCTGCCTGCCTGCGGCTTCTCTCGCATCCCCAGGACTCGGAGTTTAGGACGCTTTTCCAGGCTCTCAAGCGCAGGAATACAGGAGGGGAAGAGAAAGGGGGGCCGAGACTGGGCGGCGTCCTATGCCCAGTGGGTGGGACGGGACTTAGCGCGAGGGCGGTCCTGGGGCCGGCGGCTGGCGCACCCACCAGAGCCCTCCGGGTTCTGCCCCAGCAGATGCCCGGCCAGAGTGCTGTGGTGGGTGAGGAACTCGGCTGTGGGGTGGGAGCCAATCCTGGGGAGCAGCATTTGGGAAGCCCCCACTGCTCCTCCCCAGAGGCGACTGGGCACGCAGCTGTGATCCAGGTCCGCCTCAGAGCAGGACCTGCGTGGGCTGCCACGGAGGCAGCCTTGGAGGGACTCGCGCTTCCGGAGCCCACCTGGGGCAGAGGGACTTCCTGTCCCTTCCCGTTCCGCAGTAAGACAGGACACAGCCTCCCACTCACGGGCGCCCAAGGCCCAGTGGTCCCTGCACCGGAGGTGAATGACACTGTGGGCGGGGCACCACCTGCCTCCTGAGATACAGAGGGGCCTGAGTGCTCGCACAAGCACCTTTTGTTGGGCCGAGTTCTTTCTCTCTTTGGAACTCTCAACAAGGGGGCCATTGACAGCCCGCCTGCAGGCCTGGGAGGCTGACTGACCTCTGCCTAGTGTCAGGGAGCAGGGCCTCCAGCTTTGGTCCTGCGGCGTCCTGGGCATCGTGGTGACAGACTGATAGCAGCAGGTGCCAGCCCCCGGCCTGGGCGGGTCTCGGGCTGGAGCACTGACACCCCCACTCGTTCTCTGGGGTGGCCCCTGTGTGGCACTGGTTCTGACCCTGCGCTCGGCGCCTGGATCCCTCGGTGGAGGTGGAGATAGGAGGCCTCCACGTTGCTGCTGTGAGAGCGGTAGGGGACAGTGCGGCCAGCACGGGCTCAGGCCGGAGAGCAGGGCTGGGTGTCCCCGGACCTGAGCCTGGGCACCACACAGAAGGTGCCGGCTTTCTGAAGACAGCATCCTCTTGGCAGAGGGTGGAGCTCACAGAGGGCCGGAGCTCTTTGGGTGGGCAGGGAGGAAGACATGAAGGGGTGAGGGGAGACCAAGGCAGAGCAGGGAGCCCAAGAGATGGAGACTGGGTGCCCTTCTGAATGTGGGCTCCAGACGTGCTAGGGAAGGCAGCCTGGTCCTAGGGAGGCTAAGGCAGGATGACCACCACAAGTTCCAGGTGAGGTTGGGATACAGAGTGATTCAAGGCCAGGCTGAACTACATAGAGAGACCCTGTCTCCAGAAACCAAAATAAAAGTGTCAGCAGTAATAATGACGATAATGAAGTAGTTGGATTACGTCAGGGAAGACACACGGGCTTCATCTTCCAGACAGGTCACTAGGATCCATTGGTGCTGTCTGACTCCTGAGCACAGTGAGAGGCCACGATCGATTAGCAATGTCTGCCACTGGTGCCTGCAGACTGTGGGGCAAAGCAGATTGTCCAGGATGCTTGTGGGTTCTACTTCAAAGCTTACGTGTCTTGGGGTGTGACTTCCATGGTGTGCTGGACCACGATCCCATGGCCTTGATAACAGCGTTTGTGGTGCCTTGTCTCCCACAGGAAGATCGTTGACCGAATTGACAGTGATGGGGATGGTTTCGTCACCACCGAGGAGTTGAAAGTCTGGATCAAACGGGTGCAGAAAAGGTACATCTACGACAATGTCGCCAAGGTCTGGAAGGACTACGACAGGGATAAGGACGGCAAGATCTCCTGGGAGGAGTACAAGCAGGCCACCTACGGCTACTATCTGGGTGAGAGGCGCTGAGGGCTCCTCGTCCCGATGGGCCACATCGCCACCCTCGAATAACGCAGGTGTGCGGCAGCCCCTCTGCTGAGTACAGAGGTTGAAGCCGTCTGAGGGGAAGGAGCTGGGGGCTCGCAGGTGCTGTGGGTCACTGCCCACTGAGCGTGCACTCTGGTGCCCCTAGGGAAGAGTGAGGAAGAGGTCTGTCTGTGGCACCGTGTCCCATCACTGCGGCACTTGTGTGGCAAGGATGGAGGGTCCTGGCGCAGCCAGGGTGGGCTTCCTGCTGGAGGGTGCCTTGGGAGCTGGGCCTCACGGATGCATTTGTAGTGCAGAAAGCTGTTGTGGAGCTGAGGGGCAGCGCACTGAGTGCTGGGCTGGGCTGGATGGGGCAGCTCCGGGCCGAGGGAGGAAGGCAGGGCGCAAGCTGGTTGGGTGCCCAGGGAGCGAGGGCACAGGTCTGAGGAGGATGAGGGCACTGGGCCAGGGCTGTGATGGCGACATCTGGGAGCCCATGTGTGTTCTGGAGCAGAGAGTGGTAAGGCGAAAGTGGAGGCCCAAGCACTCGCCACATGCATGCACACCAAGGCGCACACAGCACAGGGCATCTGTGGGGTCTGAGGCAGCCCCTGAGCCAGTGCAGTCTGCATCCCTGTGAGCCACTGGAGCTGCTGGTAGGGTGGCAGATGCAGCTCCCTGGAAGTGCTGTCCTAAAGGACTCAGTGGGTCAGGGCTTTCTTTGCATCTGACCGCTCCATTGGCCTGGAAGGGGTGAGCTGGGAGTGAGGGCGGGATGGGGCTGTTCAGCTGCAGGCTGAGCCTCTCCTCACCCCTCGCCTGCAGGGAACCCTGAGGAGCTCCAGGACAGCTCCGATCACCACACCTTCAAGAAGATGCTGCCCCGGGATGAGAGGAGGTTCAAGGCGGCGGACCTGGATGGGGATCTGACAGCCACCCGGGAGGAGTTCACTGCTTTCCTGCACCCTGAGGAGTTTGAGCACATGAAAGAAATTGTGGTTTTGGTGAGGACCACGGAGAACTGGGGCTGGGAGAAGACGGCCGTGAGATGTCTCTCCTATCGCCTTGTCCTTTCGCTGCAGGGGAGGCAGGGTATGGGCGCTGTCTGTGCAGGAAGCCGGAGCTGAGTGAGCTCTGTGACCACAGCCTGGGCCGTGCGCACCCCGTGCCATTGGAGCCGCTTTCTGTGCACATCCCGCTATGGGCATCCAGCTTGTGGGCCTTGGGGGAGCTTGCTTCTGAACTCTGTCCTATACCAGGCTGCCTCTGTCGTGGGCTCAGCCACTTTGCAGCTCAGGGTCACCCTGGTGGCAGCCAGATGACCAATGAAGGAAGTGGAGGGCATGGAGGGCCAGGAAAGACATGGCCCTCCACGAGGAGGCTGCAGACACAGGCCTGCACATGTGTGCAGGTGTGGCTGGTGCCGAGGGCAGCCTCCTGGCCTTTGGCTATGAGGGAGCTAGAAGTGGGTTCTGAAGTGAGAGGCTGAAGTTCAACTCATGGCAGGGAGTGCCTCAGTGCTTCGAGGGTGGCTCTGCCCAGGGCCCGAATGCCTGCATTTTCTACAAACTATGGCCTGCGTCCTGGCCTGCCTTACTCAGCCCCTGGGGGTGGGTGGGGGACACCTGGCCTGCCACTGCTTCTGCCCCGGCCACGGAGACCCTAAAGCGCTGGCTCCAGGACTCTGTCCCCACCCCAGCTGTGTTTAGCCGCCTGCGTGCCTTTCAGAGCAGCTCTGCTGTTGGTCAGCTGTAAGATTTCCAGAGTCTGCCACAGTAAGTCCAGGATGGAATACATTCAAGAAGCAGTTTTGCTTTTCTGTTTTTAACAGTCTCACATTTCACGTCTCTGATATGAGCTCAGCGGTCCTGGCCCAGCCCTGGACTGTCTTTGTGTCATCGCCTAATCTGGGGGTTCTCATACTCGATTCCTGGAGGGCCCCTGGCTCCCCCTGGGGTGTCTGGTTGGTGGGGGCGGTGTGGGCAGCTTCCTAACAGAACCCCAGGCCTCTGGGTTAATGACGTAGGAGAGGGGATGCAGGGAGGAAAGAGACTACCTTTTAGAGATGGACAAGGCGGAGAGCTGGATGTCACAGGCTGCTGGACCAAGGGCGACAGGGGCTCGGGTCTCCTTGGAGCATGGGGCTGTCTTGCTTCCTGTATCCCCTTCGTTTCCCAGGAAACCCTAGAGGACATCGACAAGAACGGGGATGGCTTTGTGGACCAGGACGAGTACATAGGTGAGTGCTGGCCCTTCGGCTGGCCTGGGCAATGCCCATGCACCCTGCGCTGGTGCTGCCCCTGCTGGGGGCGACAGTGGGGCTCTTTCACCACGCTGCACTTTGGACTCACCCTCAGTGGTGACCGGTGGAGCTTCTGCTGCCCACTCGGAGTTCTGTTCACTTCTGGGGAACAAGCCCGGGCCCCATCTCTCACTGAAGTAACTAAAATGGCCAAGGCGGCCCTGGCTTTGGAGTGACCATGTGCCAATGGCTGTCAGCCACCTGTCACACGGCAGCACAGTTCCCCTTGCTGTATGCAGCGGTGGATGCATGCAAGGGTGACCGACTGATGAAAGAGGCTGACTGCATGTGCTGCTGGGCCCTCCAGACTGCACGGCTGTGGTGTGTGTGGTGGCCACTCCGGGAACTATGCCTGACAGAGGCTCTTTCCTGTGTGGGAGGGAGGAGGGTACTGCGCCTCTAGACTACACTCGGAGCCACCTTCAGCAGGGCTGTGTGTGACTGCGCAGTGGATGGGCTGTGGCCATCCCGGGTGGGCAGCAGCCTTCTCTTCAGGTAGATGTGGCAGAGCGCTGGAGCTGGAAGGCCCTGCCGGAAGGACCCTGGTGTCCGCGCTGCTGCCATGCAGCCCTGGAGAGTGGCCTCACTCTGCGCTGAGGACGCCACCTGCAAGATGGGAATAAGCAGCGTCCAGGGCAGGGTTGGGCGGTGCTCAGAATAACTAATGCGTGGGGTGTCGTATGTGTAGGGAGGACCACGGCCTCTGTGTGGCCACCTTGTGGCCAGGAGTCTCTTCGCAGCCTGTCCTTCTACCCCCAGGGTGGACCCTGTGTGGAGGCTTTCTTAAGCTATTTTCGGCCTTGAAGCTTTATTACAAAGAGCTTTCCCCAAATTGAAACTTTGTTTACAAAGTGTGTTTTCTGCATTGAAGCCTTGCTAGTAGGCAGGCCTCGGGTCTGAGCTGCCTCCTGGCCACTCTTTCCCGGGACCAGGTGAGGAAGCTGTCTGCACTCTTTCTGACCCTGCGCAGTATAAGGCCGGGTGGGGCTGTACCTTGCGGGCTGTGTGAGGAGCAAATGAGATGGGATGTGTGTACCTAGGACCCGACAGAAGCAGCCACAGTGGTGGACACGTGGTGACAGCCACAGTGGGAAGCCGAGTGCCCAGGTCCCGCAGCCCCAGGATCAGCCTGTGGGGGTTCGAGCCACAGCCTCATACCCTGGTCAGTGTAATGGGAGTCTAAGTAACCACCTGGGAAGAGGAAATGGGCGGGCTCTAGCTTGCCTGCGCCATGGAAGGCACTCAAAGGGTGATTATTACCAGTTTTCACCTGAAGCCGCGAGGCAGGTAGCAGAGGCTTCCACAGAAATAGCCCACGGTCTTCATAGTGACCCTGGGATTTATCAGGGCTTACCTGCGTTCCACAGGCAAGCTTCAAGCTCCGTCTTAGAACCAGGCCACCTAATCCCGGCCACCGCCTAAGTCGAGAGCTAGAGCCCTCTTCCTCTTTCTTTCTCAGTGCATTCTTGCAGTGCGTCATCGCACTGGTCTTAGAGTTGGCATGTGGGGCAACGCATCTCAATTCTTGCTCTTTTCCTTTTGTGTCCCTTCCCTGCCCCTTCCTCCCTCTATCCATCTCTCCATCCCTGTCCCTTTTGGAAGAGCCGTCTCCCTATTTCTTATCGTCTGACTTTCTTTTTTTAAATTATTTATGCTCTGGGTTTCTCAGATGGGAGAAGCCATGTGGCATTTCAGCCTGTGTGTCTGGTTTGTGTCACCTGGCACTGTCCTGCAAATGACTCGAGGTTGTCTTGTATGACAGAGCAGTGCTCCACTGTGTCCCAAGCTCAGGCCTGAGGCCTTCCCGGCAGATGGGCCTTATCATCCCAGACCTGGCCTCCTGATTGGTTATCCCCTTTCCAGAAACACGGGGTCCTCCTCTGGTGGCTGTCCCTTTCCTGGCCACCCTCCATAACCAGAGCACCCTTTCTTGTAGCTGACATGTTTTCCCACGAGGATGGTGGCCCTGAGCCAGATTGGGTCTTGTCGGAACGAGAGCAGTTTGGTGAGTTCCGGGACCTGAACAAGGATGGGAAGCTGGACAGGGATGAGATCCGCCACTGGATCCTTCCCCAGGATTACGACCACGCACAGGCCGAGGCACGACACCTGCTGTATGAGTCCGACAAGAACAAGGTAGCCCAGGGCTCTGAGGCATGGGTGTAGGGTTGGGGTTGGTGCTTCCTGGGTGACCACAGGGCTGGGGCCGAGTCCCCATTCTGGAGACCCCAGCTTGAGCCAAACCCAGAGCACCCTTGGGCCCACAGATGCACTTGGCCACCCTGCTGGTGGCAGGCCAGGTAGTTTGGGGGTAGGGCACTGGCGTTAGGAAGCCTCCACCTGTCCAGGATGTGGGTATCTCCCCAGCTTGGAGCAGAGGAGACCCCGCCTGTCCCCGGTGGCCCAACACAGGCTGTGTTCATAAATAGGCAAACCAGCAGGGCTGTGACAGAGCTCTGGTGTGAGTGCTTGCCCAGCCTGATGTGGCTCAGCCCTGTCCCCAAAAGAGAGAGAAGAGAAAAACCTCAATAAGGAAAGAGCCCCGCCCCGCCTACTCGGCTAATAGCCCAGCTCCCTGTGTCAGCAGATGGGCAGCTGGCGTGGTGGCCATGGGAGAGACTTCCCCGGGCCCACTGCAGGTGGCCGCCCTGCTGGAGGTCGTTTGGGGACTGTGACTTCCAAGTTACTGACCCTGCAAGACGCTTCCCCAGGGTAGAGCTCCGCAGGCAGCATGGTAGGCAGAGAAGGAGCCGGGGCTGCTGAGTTGCGTGGTATTAGGAATGGAGACTGAAAGTAAGGTTCAGGGTGTCCCTGACCACCTCTTCCCTCTCCGGAAGGACGAGAAGCTCACCAAGGAGGAAATCCTGGACAACTGGAACATGTTCGTGGGCAGCCAGGCCACCAACTATGGCGAGGACCTCACAAAGAGCCACGATGAGCTCTGAGGCCCACTGGGCCTGTGCCGTTCTGGGCAGTGGCCGCCGTGCTCGACTTACGTGCCTGAGTCCCCAGCAGAGTGAGTCTGTGCCTCAGAGTGGGGTAAAAACCATTTCTCACTCAGTACTGACTAGAAGATGGTCAGCACTATTTTTTTCAGTGTGATTCAAAGCACATTAAAATCCTGCTAGATGGCCAGGATCTGTTATGGGGATCCCCAGCGATGGCACGCGTTTTTCAGGTTTTCTTTTTCTGCTAAGTTTAGATGAGAGGGAATAGGACTAGGGAAAGCCCAGTTACCAGGAGCTGATGGCTGCGCCCGCAGGCAGAGCGTGCTGCCAGTGTGAGCTGTCAGGCCTGCTCTACTTGCCATTGTTAAGCTGCGGGCCGGGCAAGTTCTGAGGCCCGAAGGCGGGTCGTCCTCGGTAGGCTTACGGTGGAGCAAGCCGATGACCCATGTTCCTCCTTTTCCTTTGTCCTCAGAGCTAATACTGTAATCACCTATGAAATTCTTTTCTGTACAGACCTGCTAAGGTACACGATTGACCCGCATCTTTGTGGTTTTTGTGGGTTTTTTTGCTTTTATAAGAAACAATCATGAAAGATAATGTGAACGAGAAAGGAATTTTACAGGTTGTTAAAAAAAAAATAAAAGCATGTCATGCCCCAAAGAACAGTAGGACACTGGTGAACACTTTCCATATACCTGAGAACGTTTTCTTCACCTGTGCAGCAGGCAGGCCTGAAACAGTGGCTAGAATGATCCATCCCCTCAAGATCCTGGGTCCCAGGGAGGCCATGCGGAGCACGCAGATCCCAGCCTCTGGGACCCTGACTCGGGCCTGCTGCAGGGTTGCCTTTGTCAAGGCCTGCCGTTGGTGGGACAGGCAGAAACCATGGGTACAGGCTGATGTTACACCTTCTGAGGAGGGAGGGAAGGAAATAAAGGACCTGCTTGAGGCCCTCTCCAGCGTCCTGTGGTGTGTCACCTCCAGAGCCTCCTTTGTGACCTCATAGCTCGTGTATCCATCATGGTGGGGTGTCATGGGTCAGAGTACAAAGGCTCTGGGATATTTTAGGTCCAGCTACTCGGCTGCCCAGGACAGATCCTTTTAGAGATCTAGTGCGCATGCGCCAAGTGTCCATTCTCTGCACTGAGCTTGCATTCGCCCAACCCCTTCTGGACAGGTTTCCACAGCAGCATCCAGATTCCTCTACGCCTGGGGACCCGGGCCCACTCGGTCTGTAGCAGCGGCCTCGTACCCGCCTCCTCTCCCCCTGGCTCCACCAACTCTGGTCCTGTCAAGGGCAGGAGAGGCCTCCCATCCACTCTACGTTTTCTGGGTCTCGCTGGCTCTTCCTGGGCCTTGTGGACACCACTCTGAGCCCTCACCTACGCCCTCTCTTGTGCCCCTGCTCTGCTTCCTTCCTGGCATGACCACTTCTGTCTGCTCCCTGTGCTGTGCCCATCCAGATCTCTCAGTGGCTGGCTAGCAGTGGCAGAAACAACTGTGGTTGCTGAGGCCAGAGTCTGAAATCACAGTCGTGGCCTGCGCTCCCACCCAAGGCCCTGGGAGAACCTTCCTGCCTGCCCTCCAGTCTCTGGGGTCCTTATGCCACGGTGTGGTCACTGTTGTCTCTTCCCATCCTCACGTGGATGTGGCCTCTGCCTGGAGTCTCTGCGCGCTGTGCCTCTTACCAGGACTTGCTGGTGTGGGTGCTGCTGCGGGGCCTGGGAGGGGCCCCTGTTGGGGTTGGGGCACACCTGCCAGTCTTCTCTGGTCGCACTCGCTCTCTGGGGCTTGGGAGGCGTGCGTCTTGGGAAGGGCCCCCACACTTCCCACCAAGCCACCCTGTGCTCTTTGTGCCTGCTTGCCCAGCGCCTGGAGCTGAGGGCCGTGAGCACAGAGCCACTGCTTGCCTTGCCTCTTGCTGGTTTCCAAGGCCTGGCCTAGGATGGCGGACCCAAATCAGCACTGGGTCGTCATGTGCTGAGCACAGGCAGGGCAGGGGCTTTAAGAAGAAGAACATTGGTCATCCTATGAAAACGGAAGTGTGTCCAAGCAGTGTGGTTGAGGTTCTGTGGTGACGACATGGCCGCGCCAGACCCCAGGCCAGGAGTCCCTGCTCTCCGAGACCTCCAGAACCTGGCAGGAATCTGCTCGGAATGTCTGCTGTTTGTGTTTTCTGTTTCTTTACTCATGCACAGCATAGATTCTGTGGCCAGGAAGTGAGAATGATTCTCTTTACCTAGCAATAGATGGAAGTCTTTTTCTTTAAGCAATAAAATTCTATCTTTGAGAAATGTGAGCATATCAGGCAACCTAATTGCAAGTATAACACTTCAGTGAGGTCCTAACATTGTTTTTCCCTGCAAAAGAGAAGCCGTACGTGGTAGGACCCGAGATGTATTTGGAGCATTAAGATTTTCCTTCCAAGTCAGTGCACATAAAGAGAGTAATCCACAGAGAGACGAGAGCTTCCAGGGCTGAATTTAACACTATTTAAAGAAAGAAAACCTTGGCCAGGGGATAGAACTGCTAACATGGTGATTCGTAAAACCTCGGATTTCTAATGAGGTCTGACTGTTGCAAGGAAAACATATTTTGTTTCTAGGTAACATTTCAAGTCTGATTACGAACAAATGTTACAAAATTGATCTGTAACGGGAAATACCATCACGTCACAAGGCATTATCCAGTGCTTAGTGTGACTGAGCGCGCACCGCCGGGAGCCCTGTCCTGTCTCTTGAGGCGCAGGCTCCCATGTGTACGGCAGCTTCCGGATGAGCGCGAGCGGAGGGAGACACGGTGAGCGCAGTAGCGACCTCTGAAGAGCCCTTCACCCGCCCAGGCAGTGGCTCCCTCATGTCACCCGAGAGCAGGAGCAGGGAGCTGTGGCGCAGAGCGAGGCGGCACGACTCGGGAAGCGAGTCTGGATTTACTCTGCCACCTCCTAGTAAAATCCTGGCTTTCTCTGCGGTCTTAAAATAAGTTTACGGGGCTGGAATTCCCATTGGGATCTAGAAGGCACGGGGATAGTCACTGCGCTGGCTCAGCCGAGGCCCTAAATATCTGAGCACCAGCAGGGCGCCGTCATCATTGCTCACATTCGGGGATTTCCAGGAACTGAGGTTGTTTCTGAAGAAGCCACCTCACCCCCTGGGGGCTCAGCTCCGACAGGAAGCAGCCCCCGCCCACGCACCACCACCCCCTACATACCCCCGCCCACGCACCCTGTGTCCATAACTTCTATGTGTAAAATAGGTGGCAGTGCCTGGCTGCTCAAGATGAATGTGACCCCCACCTCCCGTGTTCTCTTGCCACGGAGGTGTGCGGAGATCTACCATATGCAAGCTCTTCGTGTCTGCCAGGGTCAGTTTGAAGCCAGGCCAGGACAGTGCCAGGTGGACCCCTGCGGGGCCTGCACCTACAAGCCAGCATAAACCGGGTTCTGCTCTGGCAGCCTGCACCTCGGGTGCAAAGTAGTAGAGACTTAGTTTTTGCTTTTTCGACATCACCCGTGGGCTTGGCGGCAGTGACACAGGAATCAGCAGCAAATTGCCACACCCACCCAGCCACACTGGGTCCCTGGACAACACCTGGGGTCACAGCGCACCTTTCACCCATGTCAGGGGAGGGGGACAGCCACGCAGCTCATCTGGAGGTGGTGCTGACGACCTTGCCACGGGGCACTTGTGTAGCGCACAGGGGCATTTGGATCACTGTCCTGCACACTTGGGAATCTAGAGAGACTCCCTCCATTGTTCCTTGCCTCTGCACATCTTTGTGGAGCCTGCAGGTCCAGGGTTCAAGGGCTTTGCTGGCTCTGGGCCAGGGCCACCCTTCTGGCTAGGCTCCATGTCACGCCAGGATTCAGGGCTTCACACTCAGGTTGCCCTAAGCCTCTTCCAGGACATGGGCAGCCTCCTCCACAGAGGACAGGCAGAAGAGCAGGGCATGCAATTCTTGTGCTGAGAGACCCCTGTGGGCCTAGCCCGGCAGCGGCCAGGGGCTAATTCTTCCCTCCAGAGTGCACGTGCCAGAGCCTACACCCCAGGGTGTGGCCATGGGAGCTACCTTTGTGCAGGGTAAGGGGACACCTTGGCCTGGTCTCGGGTCCATCTCCTCATCAGCCAGGTGTGGACCTAGCCAGGAGGCCCACCTGGAGCGGAGAGCAGCCTGTCTTCCTCTGCGTGGGAGTGTGGGCTGTGAGCCCTGGGAGGCCGTGAGGCCATGCTTCTCAGCAGCTAACACGGTGCCTAGAATCAGAAGACTCTGCTCAAGAGTCCTCTTTATCTACTGTGCAGGCAGCTCCACGGGGCAGGGCCAAGTCCCCCTGGGGCTGGGCTCCCCCCCCCCAAGGAGTCCCTGTTGTCGCTGCCGTCTTTGAAGCTTCTGGCTGGGAGGAGGCCGAGGTCACAGGGGACACAGCATGGGACCTAGCTGCAAATGCACCCTTGGGACAAAGAAAAGGCTGCTTTCACAGCACAGAGTGCCAACAGCGCCCTCAGCATGGCAGAAGGGGAGTGCCAGACACACTGGGGGAACCCACACTCCCCAAGCTCAGCTCTTCTCGGGGAGGCTGATAAGTCAGGGGCTCGCGGGTCAGTCATCACGAACCCCACTGTGGGAACGCAGCCGGCTGGTATCCAGGCCCCAGTGCCTGGCTGGGACTCTGCTTGTTCCAGGGTACAGGAACCATCTCTGGCCCAATGACTTCAGTGGCACCAAGGGCCTCCTGAATGTGGTAGGCGAGTCATCAGCTTCCCTGGCTTCAGCTCCTGTGCAGGTCTGACATTCATGGCTGGAGTCCCCACCCCACAGGTCAGCAGGGAAGATCGCTCTGCTGGGGGTTGCCATTGTCTTGTGACACCACCTGGAATCTGCCCATGTCACCTGTGGGCACCTGAGGCGTGTCACTCCAGCACAGGGAAAGCACCCCATGGAAAGGCTTCTGCCCAGCAGGTGCCACAGGGTGAGGCCACATCTACTGCACAAGAGCAGAGCTGCAAAGCTCTGGAAAGACTGGCTGCTTTTTGCTTTCATGGATGTTCCAAATCAAACATGATTTGCCTTTGAAATAAGAAAAATGGTATTTTTAAATGAATGAGTGAATTTTATTCTAAGAAGTTTCTTTTCTTTTTTGTTTCCTGTATTTTAGGGAAGGGTTTACAGTGGCTTACTGCTAGATTGGCCTCCTAGTGATTCTCCTGTTTACAGCCTCCCAAGTGCTGGGATTATAGGCATGCGCCACCATGCCCAGTCTCAATCTCCCTCTCGGGGGCCTGCTCATTAATTAGCTCAAGTGTTTAAGTGTCTGGTGAAACAAAGCAGTCAGGCTCAGGATAGGATACTGGGGTTCGATCCCCTCATCCTCTGAAGGCATCCTGAGCGGTCCAAAAAAAAAAAAAAAAAAAAAAAGCCCTTCTATCAATCACCTTCTCAGGGTGACCTGGGGGCGGGGCTGGCACTGCAGGCCCAGGGATCAAAACCTGCCCCCTACACCTGCTTGTGGGTGCTTTAATCCACTGAGCTATTTGGCCAGTTCTAACAAGTTTCAAAAGCTGAGTGAGAGTGTCTGTGTGCTCCCACCCTGTGACAAACACCTCAGCCACAAAGAGGCTCATCAGAGTCACGCAGAATGGAGGTACGTAGGCCAAGGTCCAGGCACCAGCAGGCAGAGCAGCTACATGCAGCGAGCTCCCCCGCTGGTGGAACAGCCCCATACTGGCCTGGTCATGGATAGGTTGACCCTGCCTCTGGGAGCCTTCTCTAAGGTGACTCAGACAGTGGAGCACACAGAGGCGTTCCCCGAAGACACATCCCCCAGCTGAGAGTGTCTTCAGGCGGTGGCAGGGTTGGAGTGCCCCCTGCTTATTTTCTGAGCCTGGGTCCTTCTCAACAGGCTGCCCTTTAGAGAGTGGACATCGGAGAAACCGAGTGTCTCTCCACAGGAGAGTGACG